CCTCCGTCCGTCAGGGGTGAGTGTGCTCTTGGCACGGACGTCCTTGAGGACAGGCAGGAGGAGTTTGAGTGCTTTGCCGCTGCTTTACCTCATCTCGTGTCCATGCTGGTTGCCCCTGAGGGAGACCCGGATGCTCCAGACATCCCGACCCCGCGCTCTTACGCTGAGGCGATCGCGGGTGAGTACTCCTCTCAGTGGTAGACAGCCATGGACACAGAGATGGCTTCCTGGAAGTCCACAGGCACCTACGTCGACGACGTTCCCCCACCTGGGGCGAACATTGTCAGTGGCATGTGGATTTTCAGGGTGAAGCGGCCGCCGGGTTCTCCGCCTGTCTTCAAGGCGCGTTACGTTGCACGAGGCTTCAGTCAGCGAGAGGGAGTTGACTTCTTCCAGACCTTCTCCCCGACCCCGAAGATGACCACTCTTCGGGTTCTGCTGCACGTCGCCGCTCAGCGTGACTACGAGCTCCACTCGCTTGACTTCAGCACTGCTTTCCTACAGGGCAGCCTGCACGAGGAGATCTGGCTGCGCCGCCCACCTGGCTTCACTGGGTCGTTCCCTCCTGGTACCCAGTGGAGCCTCCGGCGGCCAGTCTACGGTCTCCGCCAGGCGCCGCGTGAGTGGCACGACACACTGAGGACTACACTTGCGGCTCTTGGGTTCGCTCCTTCTACTGCTGACCCGTCGCTGTTTCTACGCACCGACACTTCGCTGCCGCCGTTCTACATCCTCGTGTACGTCGACGACTTGGTCTTTGCCACTGCTGACACTACGGCACTCGCCCACGTGAAGTCGGAGCTGCAGAAGAGACACACGTGCACAGACCTGGGTGAACTGACAAGCTATCTTGGCTTGCGGATCACCCGGGACAGAGCACGGCGCACCATCACCTTGACTCTGCTTGTACTGTGATCTCTATATATATACCTGCATGTTTACTCTTGCTAGGTTGTGATCACTGTATCTCTTGTTATATTATCAACCTGCATGTGAACTGGTCTTGTGACCACTTGCTTGTGCTCAGAATTTGTGTGGTTTCCTTGAGATCCACCATGGGCTTGCTTTGCTTTGCTTTGACTGGTCTTGTGACCATCTGGTTGTCTCCCACTTAGCCTATGGGGGTGTGTCAAACATTATATGTTTATATTGTGTAGGCTATAGTGGGTTTAGCCTTAGGGGGTACAACAAACTTAGGGTTTCATACTTGTACCCAACTTCTTTCTAGTTCATTCATTCTCGTGCAGTACTATCTTCTAACAGCTGCTTGCCCCTGAGGGAGACCCGGATGCACCAGACATCCCGACTCCGCGCTCTTACGCGGAGGTGATAGAGGGTCCCTACTCCTCTCAGTGGCAGGCAGCCATGGATGCAGAGATGGCTTCCTGGAAGTCCACAGGCACCTACGTCGACAAGGTTCCCCCTCCTGGGGCGAACATCGTCAGTGGCATGTGGATTTTCAGGGTGAAGCGGCCGCCGGGTTCTCCGCCTGTCTTCAAGGCACGCTCCGTGGCTCGTGGCTTCAGTCAGCGGCAGGGAGTTGACTACTTTCAGACCTTCTCTCCCACCCCGAAGATGACCACTCTTCGGGTACTGCTGCACATAGCCGCTCACCGTGACTACGAGCTTCACTCTCTTGACTTCAGCACTGCTTTCTTGCAGGGCAGCCTGCACGAGGAGACTTGGCTGCGCCGCCCACCTGGCTTCACTGGGTCTTTTCCTCCTGGTACCCAGTGGAGCCTCCGGCGACCAGTCTACGGTCTCCGCCAGGCACCTCGTGAGTGGCACGACACACTGAGGACTACACTTGCGGCTCTTGGGTTTGCTCCTTCTACTGCCGACCCGTCACTGTTTCTGCGCACCAACACTTCTTTGCCGCCGTTCTACATCCTCGTGTACGTCGACGACTTGGTCTTTGCCACAGCTGACACTGCTGGACTCGCCCACGTGAAGTCCGAGCTGCAGAAGAGACACACGTGCACAGACCTGGGTGAACTGCGCAGCTACCTTGGCTTGCAGATCACCCGGGACAGAGCACAGCGCACCATTACCCTGACTCAGTCACACATGGTGCAGCAGGTCCTTCAGCGCTTCGGCTTCACGTACTCCTCGCCTCAGGCCACTCCTCTGTCTACTCGCCACTCGCTCTCAGCTCTGCCTTCGGATGAGTCCGTAGAGTCGAGTGGCCCGTACCCAGAGCTTGTTGGCTGCTTCATGTACCTGATGACCTGCACTCGACCTGACCTTGCATACCCTCTTAGCATTCTGGCACGCTATGTTGCTCCTGGGAGACACAGACCAGAGCACATGGCTGCAGCGAAGAGGGTGTTGCGCTACTTGTGCAGTACGTCGGGCATGGGGCTTGTGCTTGGAGGGCGGAGTCCAGTGGTCCTCACTGGTCACGCAGACGCTTCTTGGGCTGACGACCAGGCTACGCAGCGGTCGTCACAGGGTTACACCTTCAGCCTTGGCTCCGGCTCTGTTTCGTGGCGGTCTACCCGCTCGTCTTCTGTTCTCGGCTCCAGTTGTAAGGCTGAGATCTACGCAGGGGCCATGGCTGCACAGGAGCTACGCTGGCTCACCTACCTGCTGACTGACCTAGGAGAGCCGCCTCGTTCTCCTCCAGTTATGTACGTAGACAACAAGGCTATGCTGGCCTTGTGTCGGGAGCACAGACTGGAGCACAGAACGAAGCACATCGCTCTTCGCTACTTCCTTGCTCGTGAGCTGCAGCAGCGCGGTCAGCTGCGCCTTGCTTACGTGGCCTCTGAGGCCAACACTGCTGATATTACAGCAAATTCAAACCGTGCGGCGCGGGAACCCGTTTTGAACCTGTTCCCGCTCTTTTCATTTCAAATATTTCTGCCTACATCGGTCTTGGTCTGACGGTTGCTGTGTCGCTTCGACTCTTCTGACTCCTCGACTTCATACTCGGTAGAGTCGGCTCCTGCAGCATACAGGAATGCCTTACTCATAAATCTTCATATCGTAACATTTTGACATAATAATCATATTTTTACTATGCATTTATTATTTATCATATCACATCTATTATACAGCGTATAGTAAAGCAACATTCATTTATCTACCCACCAATCATCATATTCATTCCTTCATTTTATGTACATATCATGCAGTAGTAAAAAACACAGTTAGCTAAGTGAATGACAAACAATTTAGTTGTCGCGCAAAGTATAATTGAGCTAGAGTATCTTCTTAAGGGGTATGTAGCTAGAGAGTGTCAGAATATTATGTTTCTCTAGTCTGCACTGGGGTACTCTATAGTGAGTACATCCCTTTTAGGGTTTGCTATATGTATCCCAATGTTTGCTAGTGAACCTACTCTCTCATTCATTCCTCATTTCTTCACATGGTATAGAGCTGGTTCCCTCCTGGGACTGTTCCCTCCTAAGGGCCCACCACTTAAAACTTTTTTTTTCCTAACCTGCCCGAAGCGCCCTTCGCGCTCGGCCTGCCCTACCCTTTCGCGGCCCCTTCGCGGCCTGCCCTGCCCTTTGCGGCCCCCGTCGCGGCCCCCTTGCGGCCCCTTAGCGGCCCCGTCGCGACCCCCCGTCGCGGCCCCCCGTCGCGGCCCCCCGTCGCGGCCCCCCGTCGCGGCCCCCTGTCGCGGCCCTTCTGTCGCGGCCCCCCATCGCGGCCCTCCGTCGCGGCCCCCCGTCGCGGCCCCCCGTCGCGGCCCTCCGTCGCGGCCCTCCGTCGCGCCCCCCCGTCGCGGCCCTGCCCCGTCGCCCGCCGCGGCCCTGTCGAGGCCCTGCCCCGGCCCTGCCCCGACCCTTAACGGCCCCGCCCCGGCCATGCCCCGTCGCCTGTCGCGGCGCACCGGGGACCCGTGCACCGCCCCCCCCTCTTTTCCCGTCGCCTGTCGAGGCGACCTGAGGGGGCCGGGGGGGGCCGCGCGTCGCCCCTTCTGCCGCCTGTTCTGGCGCCCTGGGAGGCCGCGCGTCGCCCCCCCTCCCCCCCGTAACCTCCCTACCCGCCATCCCGTCCTGCCCTGTGTTAGGGTTTGGGGGTGGCGAGTAGGGGGTGGCGGGTGTGTGGTCTCCCCTGCTCCTCCTCCTCCTCCTCTGTCTCCCACTGCTGCAGCTGCCGCTGAGGGGGGTGGGTGTGTGGGAGTTGACGGAGCGGTGCTAGGGGATGGGGTGTGAGTGAACCTAGGGGTGCAGCAGGGGGTGTGTGAAATGGGGGTGGGATAGTTTGGGGAGGTTGAAGGGGGGTGGCCGCCGTGAAGCCCGCAGCTCCAGTCGCCCGTGAGACCGTTGCGCCAGTCGCCCGTGAGCCCGTTGCGCCAGTCGCCCGTGAGCCCGTTGCTCCAGTCGCCCGTGAGTCCGTTGCTCCTGCCGCTCAGAGTTAGCCGCGGAGCCAGTTACTCCAGTAGCCCGTGTGCCAGTTGCTCCAGTTGCCAGTGTGCCAGTTGCTCCAGTTGCCCGTGTGCCAGTTGCTCCAGTTGCGCCGTGTGCCAGCAGCTTCAGCTGCCGCCCACTACCTCCTCTCCTCTCATAGTCCCTCCTCCTCCACACTTGCCCTCTGCGATAGCCTCTAGCTTTGCTTACATTTGTGAACTTTAAACTGTTGCTTCTTGTACTTGTGCTCAGAATGTGTGGTGACATTGTGATCCACCCTGAGCTTGTTCTGCTTTGCTTGTTGTGCTGATTACACCCCACTTTGACTATGGGGGTGTGTCAGAATATTATGTTTCTCTAGTCTGCAGTGGGGTACTCTATAGTGAGTACAGCCCTTTTAGGGTTTGCTATATGTATCCCAATGTTTGCTAGTGAACCTACTCTCATTCATTCCTCATTTATTCACAGAGAGTGCATCCAGTTTTTTATTTCACATTTTGTAAAAAAAATAAATGTGAAAAAAAAAACTCGTCAAATCGATTGCAATAGGTTGCTTCGCAACCCAAAAAAACCGTCAGGTTCGGACGGTGCACTGGTCGAACCGGACGGGTTCCACGGCTTCCGTGTTCTCGATTTCCGATGGCCTGCAGAACAACACCATTGTTCTCCACTGGAAGGTGGCTGCCGAACTGGGCCAATGTGGTCTGTGCGGTCTGTAGTAATGTGGGTGGGTCTCCCAATGTGGTCTGTGCGTCTTTACTGCCGGCCTTCGCTCCTACACTGCCTGCTGCTGTGCCTGGTCCCTGGTTGCCTCCTCCCTCGTTGCCTCAGCCCTCTATCCTCTCCCCCACCCACCGGCCTCCTCCCCTCTCCTCCCCAAAACCACCGCTTCGCCTTCTTCCCTCTACCGGCCTGCCCCTCCTGCCGTCCTCTGTGCCTGCCAACCCCGCACCCAGCCCGGTGGTGAGGGAACTTCGATGGAGTCGATACTTGAGAATGCGATTTCACTCGCATACCAACTTGGGCATAATCAACTGACTTTGCCAGAGTCCAGCTGAGGTAATGACTCTTCTCACTGATCCTTTTGAAGACCTTATTTATTGTTCTCCTGCCAGCAGCAATGAAGAAACTATCGAGCGTGCCACCGCTGTTAGCTGTCATTACAGCATTATTCGTGGTGCGATGTGCGGCGGAGGATTTCGGCGTGGAATTTAATATCGAGCATTCCATATCACTCCATCGCGTGAGTCGCCCATCGCATTTTAGGTGTTGCGTGTCGCCCGCGCATGTTCCGCCCTACATTCGGTCGTTGGTGGAGTATATTCACTTCGGAGAACTTTCCAAACAGCCTCCTCCATGCACAAGGAGATTCTATTCACATCCAAGGGCCTTCCTTGCCGGGCGAATGGCTATTGGCGTGGCTCTTTGTTCCTACACCCTCCAGATTCCACGCCGTCTGATCCCATGCCACTGACATAATCCACTCCTCTCGCTCCTTTTTCCAGCGCTCCCCCTCGTGCTGCCTACTTCCCACCCTTTCCCCCTCCATCTTCGCTTTCGTACCTACCGCCTTCCGCCCTCCATCTTCCGCCCGCGCCCCCTCCGCGTATCTCTTCCGTTCCCTCCCCCGCAGGCGTGGGAGCTCGCGTACGACCTGGCGGAGGGCACGGTCCGCCCGCCCGCGAAGATCTCTCTTCCGCCAAACGTCCCCCCTCCGCCGCACCTGGAGGACTGCGCGGCGCGCACTGCGTTCCGCGAGTCGACGGAGAAGCGCGCGGCGAACGGGGAGTCGCCCAAGTGGTCCAACTCGTCCGAGGCGTGCGGATGGGTGCCCCAGCCGCCTTGGGTGGGTCATGGCTGGGTTGCTTTTCGAGGTGCATAAAAAAAAAAGGTTGTGTCACCCGCCATAGGTGGCGGAGGGCTTTTGGTAGGCTGCATCCTCCCACTCTCCCCTTTTCCGACTTCTCCCGTTCCCCGCCCGTTGTCGTCACTCCACACCACACCCCCTCTTTCCCCCCACTTTCCCCTCCCCGCTCCTCCTACCGCAATCTCCGCCCTCACCCCCTCCTCCGCCTCAGCAACCCCCCACATCCCCCATCTTCCGCAACCCCCCCGCCTCAGGTCCGGGGACCCGACGCGGGCAACCTGGCAGGAACGCGGAAGGCGCAGCGCGACCTGTGGGAGCTGCAGTTCCCCGCATCATGCAAGGAGCGGAAGCTGCTGCTGGTGGAGTGGCCGCCGGTGAAGGGGTACGGGCTGGGGTCGCAGCTGCACATCATGACGTCGCTCTTCAGCTTCGCTGTCAACTCCAACCGCACCTTCGTGATCAAGCCCGGCTCCTACGTGCGCGCCAACCACTCCGAGTGCCAAGGTGGGTGGGCGGGTCAGTGGGAGGGCGGCTAAGTGGGTGGGTGGGTAAGTGGGTGGTTAAGTGGGTGGGCGGGTGGGGATGGATGGGCGGGTGGGGGTGGATGGGCGGATGGGTGGGTAGGTGGGCGGGCGTCAAGTGGGTTTGCAAGGCACCAGCATGCGGGGGAGGTAAACATGAGGGGCAGCATGAGTGGTAACCATTACCACACCGAGATGCTCCTTTCCCGCCCTCGTACCTCCATCTGTGCCCCCATTTCTCCCCTATCACATCCCATCCCATCCCACCCGTGGTCAAGCCGGCCACGTGTGAGCGCGTCAGCTTGTTTCCGTGGCAAGGCACGCCAGCACATGCAATACTCCTACTTTCTCTTCCCCGTGCAATGCTCTCCCTTCCTCCTTCCCCCTCCCCCCTCCTCCCTTCCCGCTTCCCCCTTCGACTTTCTTCCTTCCCACTCCCCCTTCTCCATGCTCCTCCCCCTCTCTCCCTTCCCCTTCCCCCTTCCCCCCTCCCCCCTCCCCCCTCCCGCCTCCCCCCTTCCCCCAGCGCTAGGCAAGGCAGGGACGTTCGAGTGCTACTTCTTCCCCATGGTATCCAAGGAGTGCGAGGACATAGCCATGGCGGAGCACAACGCAGGCCGCATCCCGGCCTGCTCTGGCATAGGAGGCCTGGAGCACGTGGCCAGGTCTCAAGACCTCGTGTTGTGCGCCACAGGCTACGAGATCCTTAAGCACCGCTCTGCTGCCAGGTGCGTGCGGGTGGTGGGTGCTTGTCGCAAGAGCGCCTCAAGCCTCAAGCGCTGCTGCAGGGAGGAAGAAGGGCGCGCTCAGGTCTGAAGGCCTCGTGGGGGGCGCCAAGGACGAGGACTACAACTTTCTTCGCCTGTGATTCGATTCGATTTTGCCCCGTGCATAAGGGTGGTGGGTGGGCGTGTGGGTGGGTGGGTGTGTTGGGAGGGCTCGACGGGCTGTTGCACGAAGGGATTGCCGGCTCATGTCAGGTAGAACCGCCTTGTGGTGGTGCGCGTTAAGGCTGCTCTCTTGGATCGCCTTGAAGTCCAATTTCCTTTGCCTGGATCGGATGCTTCCAGGTGGGTAGTTGCTCAAAAGGCTGCAAGCAGCACTGTGTCTTAGGCGCCTCAGAGTATCGCTAGTCAGACAACCTCCGCGTGTGCGCTAAGGGCGCAGGCAAGGCGTATGGTATGGATCCAGCACAGCTAGTCCAAGCAATACAGCATTTCCCCTTACTCTCCTTTCTCCTCCACCCACCCTGTGACCTTGAAATGCTCTCCTCTCCCCATCCCGTTCCATTTCCTGCTACCCCTCCCTCTCCCTCTTCCTCTCCCCCTCCTTCCGCTCCTCCCCCCAACCCCCCTCTCCTGCCCGTACCCTTGTTTCCTTCCTCCCACGGACTGGGCCATACATACCAAAGCAACCCACCGTAGTGGAGCTGACAGTCTCGTTTTGATTCCACTCAAACCGCTCTCCCTCCCCCTGCCTCTCCCCTTCCCCTATCCAAGCCCCGCTCGTCGCCCCTGTCCCTGCCCCCACCTCCTTCTTCTCACTGCCCTCCCGCCTCGCCCCTACCCCTGTCCGGTCCCCTCCTCCCAGGGAGTGGGGTGACGCGTACCTGCAGCGGCCCAACGTGGTGGAGCTCGCAGGCTCCATGCACCCTATCACCCCCGATCAGCAACAGGTGCCCATTCTTGTGCTTTAACACACATATGCGTGGGGGAGAGGCTTATTAGATTTGTGGGCTTGAGTCTGATCTGTGTTTACCGTGAACACGCCATGGAGTCCGCTAACCCCGTGCAGTGGCAGGTGGGTTTTGTAACGCTTCTAACTGCAGTTGAATGTGGTGGAGCTCACAGGCTCATGCAGTATGTTGTCCCTGTCTGTGGCTTTCTGCTTTGGCGTTCTGGGTCAAAGTTGGAAAATACGCTCAGTTCCTCGAGCGTATCGCGTATATACGCTGTACTCGATAGAATGCGCAATACGCAGTCGGAAAAAAATTCGGGCTCCTCGAAAAAATATCGCGAAAAGGATGCGGATTTTCTGAGGATTTCGCCGAAGTCGAAATTCTAAGGGCGCGTCCCCTCCCTCGATCGATCGTGTGCAGGATCGATCCTGGGAACGGTCGAAAAGGATTCAAATAGTTGAAAACAGAACAACGCAAGATTTCAGTGCGGTGGACGATCGATCGTCGTCGGTTTTGCACGATCGATCGAGGGAGGGGACGCGCCCTAATCGGCAATCTAGGCAAGCGGAAATCTGTTCTCGATGTTTCGATGTTGAATCTCGGATCACTACCGCATTGAAACCCATCAGTAACCCATCCCATCTACGAACTCCAACTTGTCCAAAATGATCCCCCACCTGAAATCTCATGACAATCCGAGATTTCTAAGGGCGACGTCAGGTTATACATTCCACACGCGCTCACAGTTCATGTATCCTGGTTCAGGACGGTCCAGCACGGTTAAAAGCGATTCTCGACAATTACCGCTCTGCACTTTGAGAGGGCGTACAAAAAGCTGTACAACCTGACGTCGCCCTAAGGCCCTGGTCGCCAGCACTTCTAAGGGCGTGTTACATTTTCGATTTTTTTCCAAACGGACCGGACCGTCTGAACGGTTTAAATCGGTTTATTTGTTAAACGCTTTTTTCTAGTGGGTTTCACTTTGTTTCAGAGTGGTGAGTGTCCGGACCGTACGGAAAATTCGAAAATGTAACACGCCCTAACAGGCTGTCGAATACCCACCATTTCAGACCATTTCAGACAGAATCACGGAAATAGTAAACTCCTACGCAGATTCGTCTCCAGGCAGAGGTTGCGCCCGATGCCATCCCATCGTCATTCCCCCCTTGGCGCAGATTTGCAACGGGATGGCGTTGGCATTAGGGTAGAAAAACAATCCTCCCCCTGGTCATTCGCCCACTCGCTTACACCCATATTTGGTGTGTAGATCTGCCCTTGTAATTGCACCTCTGGTGACGCGGCCGTTGTCCCAAGCGTTTTTTACCCTTGACGTTCTTGAAGCCCCCGATAAGGAAAATTTATTTACGAACCAATTTTTGGTTAGGCAGCTTGGAAGGTGGAGAGGGTGGTTCTTGATTCCGTTGCCACCCTTCCCCTTTCTGGCGGGATTTCGTGAGGTTGTTGAGCCCCCAAAACCTATTCGGATGGTTCCGCCCCCGTTTCGTGATCCCAAGGCCATCCCGTTGCCTTCAAATCTTTTCAAGTGCTGGCGAACAGGGCCTATATCTCATTCGTGTTCAGTAAACTTCCGTGTACTCCTACTTCTCGATTTCAGCAGACTGGTTCTCACCGACAACTACGAGTAGAGTAGACGCGTATGGAGGGAGGACTAGGCTGGTCTAGTATTGAGGCGGGAAGGGAAAACGGTTGGCGGATGATGGAGCAGCATTAGAGTTTACTTAGGTTATTAAGTAAATGGGCCGGGTGGGTGCTTAGCACCCAGCCCAGGCCCCCCTCTTAACTAAATCCCCTGCCTGTGAAAAAGTTCTTACCTCCCGAGCCAACGAATCTGGTGCGTACCAGACCCCCTCCAAGCAGCGTATTGCGTATATACACTAGCGAAAATACGCTCTTGCACACCTTTATGTGTTCGAGGCTTCACCCACTCAGTTCAGTCAAGTCCAGTCCAATCCACACCATCGCCCCATTCCTCTCCACTCCACTCCACGTGTCCCCCCCTGCCCCCTTACTCCCTCCCACCATCGTTGTCATGGTCTCCCCCCCCCCCACGCCTCACACCAGGTGCACTGGTGGCGAGCCCAGGCCTTCCACTGTGACCTTTGAGTCATCTCAAACTCCTTTCACCCCCCACCCCCTCCTCTCCGCTCTCACCTGCTCTGCAACCCCTTCTGCCCTCCAGTTGCACTGGTGGTGTCGAGCCTAGGGCGGGAAGCTTCATGTTCCTCCTTCCCCTATCAACCTCTCTGCATCCCTGCCTCACCGCACCAGGTGCACTGGTGGCGAGCGCAGGCGATCCGCTTCATGCTGCGCTGGCCCTCGGCATACATGTGCCACATCACCAACCGCGTGCGCCACAACGCGTACGGCCAACAGATCGCCATCCACATGGTCAGCACTGCAGCCGAGCAGGAAGCCATTATTAAAGCCATCAAGCCCGATGACTCCCGCAAGGGCCTCTCGATTAACTACGACCAGGAGGTCAACACGCTCTCACACGTGAATTACTCCATGCCAAACCTCGAGAGTGAGGTCTGGCCGGGCCTGGACTATGCAGGGTGTTCGCTAGACAACCATACGGATCCCCTGGCGCCGAAGCACGCAGCTGATTCGGTGTATGAGGGAGTGGGCGGGGAGCCGTATATCCCGCGGCCGATTGTGAGCATGCACGTGCGGCAAGGAGACAAGGCGCGCGAGATGCAACTGATCTCGTTCCCCTCGTATGTGTTCATGGCCAATAGGCTCAGACGGAGGATACCGCACCTCAAATACGTGTGGCTCAGCACTGAAATGCAGGTGAGTAAGGGGCTAGAAGCTCGATTCTTAAACGACAGACTGTCATCAGAGATTCGTCATCATCCGTCCCTACTCCACCTGTTAAGTTCACTCAACATTCACCTTATTTCATTCTTTGACCCCCCCCGCACCCCCCTCCTACCTATCCTCCCTCCTTAATCCGCCCTCTCAGAGCGTGGTAGACCAGGCGGGGAAATACAACGACTGGACCTTCTTCTACTCCACAAACCTCCGACAGACCGGCGCAATCTCCATTCTTCAATACGAGGAGACTGTCGGGGTAGCAAAGCTTGCAGGGCTCAGCTTCGCCAACCTGCTCATCTCATCACAGGCGGATTACTTTGTGGGAGTGCTGGGGTCCAACTGGAACCGGCTTATTAATGAGCTCAAGGCCACCAGTGGGAGGCTGTATGCGGGTTATGTGTCGGTGAATTACGACGAGTGGTAGTGGGATGGGAATGTTGTTGGTTCTGTAGTGTACTGTATTTGTTGATGTACTCTAGAGGATGATGTGCAGATATGCATTACTGGTAATTTGACACTACACTAGGTGATAATAATCGGGGACAAGAATTGTAGGGCCTGGAGCCTTAGAACGAGGATCACACTACTAAAATCTAACAGCATGTTAGATGAATCATAAGGTTATATGTACAACAAAATTGATGTTTTAGGGAAGAGAGCCTCTCTCAATACCCCTCTCAGACCCTCTATACCTACCTCTCAATAGCACTTCCTCTCATCACTCCTACCCAACATTTCATGCCATGGCTGCTACATTACTACCCCCATCAGTGCCATCACTCATACCCATCACTTCATGGCGCTGATACCAGTACTCCCGCCCATCATCATGCGCTCTACAGCAGCTATTTCATCTTCAAAGCACCCACCCCTCTGCTCCTCCACCTCCTCATCTATCCTCACAACCATCTTAGGTGCTACCTCCCCCAAAAACGCCTTCCTGAGTGCCGTGAGCTCAGATTGTCAGATTATGTATGCTATATATGTTTAGGCTGTAGTGGGGTAGCCAATATGGGGTACAACCAGGCCCTCAGATATCAGCGTAAAACACGCTGATTACGCTGATTTTGTAGCTCAGATTTTCGTTTTCCCTGAAAATTCAGCATATGCTTCAAATTTGCACTGAAATTTCAGTATAACATACCTTGCCACACTGACCATTTTCCGTGTTGCTGTACAAGAAACACTGACGAATCAGTGTAGTGTCGTGAGTCACACTGAAACGGACTAGACCGATTCGGGGTGGTACGCGTGTGTACAGTCTGTACCTGGCCCGGGATTCACGAGACCCCACTAGGCTGTACCTGGCCCGGGATTCGCGAGACCTCACTCACACACTTAACGATGCATGCGCTGTACAGATCGCGTGCCGGCGTGTTCTGCATCGCTGGAAAGAGCTCTCACAGCGACAAATTTTGATCGGGAAATTCAACTTTGTATTTCTTTTGTACACTGATGGTTCAGTTTACTTATAACTTTTACACTGGCAAAATCAGTATAAAGAAAACCATGAACGCTGATTTGGACACCTGGGCGACCGGGGCACGCTGATCCATCAGCATACCCTCAAACCAATCTGAGGGCCTGGGTACAACCCCTACTAGGGTTTGATATTTGTACCCAACTCTTCCATAGTTCATCTCATTCCTGCCTATACTTCGGACATGGTTTCAGAGCAGTAGGTCCGTAGGACCGTCTTTTTTTTTTTCTCGGGCCCACCTACCGCTACCCCACGAATGTGCCTGTCACTGTACCTAGGACGTGCTGCGCTGCGCGCACTGTCTGCCTGCTGCCTGCTGTCTACTGTCTGAGCCGTCTGCTGCTGCTTCGCGCGCAGACCTAATTCTAGCGCGCTGCCTCGTTTTTTACCTCCGCGGGTCGCCCCCTCCTGCCCGAATCGCGCCTCCGCAGCCACGTCGCGTCCCGCACACGGCCCGCGCAGCCCGCGTCGAGCCCGCGCAGCCAGGGCCCTCGTTATCAGACCAATTTGGTCTGATGGTCTGCGTTTCAGACTTCATTTTCATATTTCAGATGATCTGTAAGACTGTGATTTTATTTTCAGATGATCAGTAAGACAAATGATTTTACTTGAGATAAATTTTCAGATCGCATACTATTAGGGCCTCAGATTCGTTTTGGGTGACCCTGAGCACTCAGGGTCCTTTGGGGCTGTAACACTGATCATCAGGGTTGTAAATGGAGAAACACTGATTTCTCAGGGTTAGAAAAAAAAAAACCCTGACACATCAGCGTGAGTTTTAAAAAAACACTGGCGGTGAGAATCCACAACAACTACCGGTATCACAAGTATAATAAGTTAAGAAAAGTTCAAATATGGTTCTAATGAGCTTCTAATCTAACTACAGGCACAGACCACTTGGCGCTCACACCGCACACACAATTCACATCACACTCATGTCTTCATCTTCGTCACTACCACCACCATCGCTCATAGAACCGTGCTTGTGCACGGGGGTCTCTGTCCCCCACCCAGAGCCAGCACCACCAGCATCATCCTCGTCCACCTTCTCTTTCCCCTTAGCACTAGGTTGCTTCTTTGGTGCTGCCACTGTTGTGATGGGCTTGCGCTTCTTGTACGCCCTCCAGATCTTCACCACCTCCGCCCAGTCGGGCTCGTACGGCAGCAATGCCATGCACATGAGGTCCGACAGCCGCGCATCCCAGCCTGAGCTAGCATCTGCTTCTGGTGATTGATGGCCAACTGGTGCTTGTTCGTCGCGGCATGCCGCTTGAAGGCTTGGGTCTGAAGATCGGTTGCACCGTGCCCACTCTTGCCACACTTGCCACCGTCACCTGCAAAGTCGATGCACAATCTGCACTTGAACGCAGGCATGCCAGCAGTGTTTTTTATGAGGATGAGCCATGGGTAGTCGGTCGATCACGTCGACTTGAACGTTTCAAGGGCCTCTTCGTAAATCAGAGTGGTTAGTGACGGTTTTTTAGAGTTAGATGGCGTGGGCGTAGCGTGGTTTACCGACTCGCCGGCATCAGCGAGAGGACGTCCAGGATCTGTAGGATCGGCCCAACGGAGCACGGCCTGCTTGTAACGAGGCGGAGGCTTCGACGACGACGCACGAGATGGCAAGCGGACGCTCGGTCCGGCTGTTGACGGCACGGCCGGCTTAGCAGTATGCGCGGGCTGGGGACGATCGTCTCCGCGGCAGAGGCCAGACGCTTCACCAGTGTTTGCTACTGAGGCGATGGGACCTGGCTTCTCTTTTTCATGGGAGAGCGCGGAAACTAGAAAATCTAGTCCCGTTCTGGCCTCCAGCATCTCGGTGGCGGCGTAAAGTGCATCGTCGTCATCATCACCGCAGCTGTTCTCACCGGTGATCGCCATGGCGCGTTCACGTCACCTTTCTGAATCGGTGAGTAGTAACGAGAAACCCTGGGAGAGAGAGAGCCTGCCGAGCAGGCTTCAGGGAGACTGCAGAGATTGATGTTTCGGAAAGGGATGGAGTATGGAGAGCTGGAATGGCAGAATCACGAGACCCCCTGCGTGGGGTGCCTGAGCGGGCCGCCCCAGCACGCCCTGCCTTGGTGGAAAGAACAAGGCAGACCACTGGCCCACTGGGCCACTAGGCTTGGTTGTTTGTGCACATCAATGGAAAGTAATGACAAGTGTAGGTTATCCAACGTGACAACGGTACATTGCTTCAGCTGGGACAGCCAATCTCTTTACGCCGTTTTGCCAACACAGCCCGAAATTAACCCGTTCAACTGTATCTGGGCGCGCCGCAGGGTGGCGTCGGTGCAGGGTGGGTTCATGCATGATGACGGCGCGCAAAACTGCGAGAATCACGAAGTTTTCAGTTTCAGGGTCGTCTCCGATACAACACTGACTCGTCAGTGTCGACAAACTAGAAACACTGGAAAATCAGGATTAGGAAAAGAAAAACACTGATTCATCAGGGTTGTAAAAACAAAAAGGCTGATTCATCAGGGTTACAATAAAAAACCGGGGTCAAACATCAGGAAATCAGGGTAAAATTCATGGAATCTGAGGCCCTGCATACTATTCTTCATCTGAGAATCCAGATAACGAGTACGATTCCGTCTGAAACCGACATTTGTGCCCACTTGTCCATAGGGCCACTAGTTAGGGTATCTGCCAGCATCTATACATGCATGCGTAATGAATGCTTCTGTCCCGTAGCATCCGCGCTGGAGGAAACAGCACCGCTGGCAGCAGTTAACCATGTCAGATGCTGCCAGCACTTTGTCACTGCGTGGATGTCGGCGCCGATGCCAGCTACACCCAGGCACCGACACTGTCCTTTTGTGCGATGGGGTGACCTGTATGCATCGCGGATGCACGTAACTGTGGTTCCCCGCCCACACTCGCACTACGTATCACTCTGCCGCGCTACGGGACGAGGGTTTGAGGGACCAGGCTGGGGGCACACCGTCCATCTTCTACATCCTTTTCTTCCGCTGCACTCGACTGGCCCCGCAGTGCAGTTTTCCACTTTCGCCATACCCCCTGATGGCCATTCCAGAGGAGTTAGACCCCCCTGGAGTCTCAGCGCTAGATTTTCTCACACGGGGCAAGTCGATCCCCGTCGTTGCACCCCACGTTGCCTCGTGCTCAACCCAAGTTATACCCCCAACCAACGCATCACCAGACACTGTGGCCGAAGAAAAGGCGGACGATGGCATGCCCAAGGCTACCACACCCACGTCGACAAGCTCGCCTACATCCGGCCGTGAATCCATCCGCCCTGTTGTTTCTGTTGCAACAACCACCAATCTTCGGGCTAACACTGTGCTGCCTGAAAGGGCTTCACTGAAAGCTAAATACAAGCAGAGGATGCTTAACTTTGCCCGTCCCGCAGGTCCTACCTTGCCCGCGCCATCGGAGACGGTCCCGCCCACGACTCGTCAATCCGCCGATGACGATTCGGAAGAAGAGGACAAGGGCAAAACCAAGGGACGTCGGCCGCTCTCTGTGGAAGCTGTTCAGCTCAAGTGTAAGGAGCAGTGGCTTCGCTATTTCCCGTGGCTCTTCATCAGTGAGACGAAGGACGGGCGACCGTGCATGCGCTGCAGCGTCTGTATGGTGTTCGGGGACCCGCACTACAAGTACGGCCGCTACGGTGAAGGCGGCCTCGACATTCAGAAGCAGACGATGCGCAAGCATCATTTCAGCGTGAAGCACGAGGCCGCGGTGCTGCAGAAGGAACAACGTGATGGCCTTAAGAAAGGCCAGAAGTCCATGACAACCTTCGACAAGGGTGACGACGACGCCAGGCGAATTGCTCGATTAATGGCAATCGCTCTCTTCATCTGCAAATCTGACGCCCCTATTGTGCTTTTCGTTGCTCTTGTTCAATTCATGGCTGAGCAGGGCACGCCGGACATGCCCTTGAAGGAAAACGGCACGTACTACAGCGAGTGAGTAAA